GTGTGTGTGCGTGCGTGTGCGTGTGTGGGGGTGTGTGTGTGCGCGTGTGTGCGTGTGTGCGTGTGTGCGTGTGTGTGTGTGTGCGCGCTGTTTCTTGATCTTTTGGGTCGTGTTTTTCTGTTCGTTATTGTTATTGTTCTTCCTGGTATTGATTGTTTGCATGTGTTGCGTTAGTTGCTATTGTTGGTTTTGATATTGTGTGGCTTCTTCCTGTTATTCCTGGTTGTGTTGTTTTCTGTGTTTCTTTCTCGTGTTCTTCCTGGTATTGTTCTGTTGCTTGATCGTTTCCTTTTATTGTTGGTCGAGTTTGTTTGCGTGTTATTTTTACTGTTATTATTGTTGTGCTTCTCGTGCTTGTCCTTTCCTTGTTCGTCTTGTTTGTGTCCTTTGGTTTTGCGTTGTGCTTGTCCTTCTTGGTATTGTTCCTGTGGGTGGTCTTTATTGTTTTTTCTTGTTGTTCCATTGTTCTTCTTGGCATCGTCACATTGCCCATTAAGCGTAGTCTAGTGTTATGTCTGGTTTGTTTTGTTTGTTCATTCTGCTTTGTTGTTCTTGTTGGTCTTGTTAGTTTGATTGTGCTGTTCCTTGTTGAGAACTGATGCTTTGTGTTCTTGTTATTCCTGGCATCAGTCCTTGTTATTGTCCTTATATTTGTTCGACCTTCTTGGTTTTGTCATTGTGCTTGTTCTTTGCGGTCTTGTTGTCTTTTGTTCTTGTTGTTGTTCTTCTTGGTTTTGTTGTTGTGATTGTGTGTGTTCCTGTTTGTTTATTTTGCTCACAGTACTTTGCCGGTATTATTGTTGTTGGTATTTGTTCTTGTTATTTACCTGTTATTTGTATTGCATGTTTGTTCGTGGTTCTGTCGCTTGTGCCTCTTTGTTGTTGCGCTTGGCCTTGTTGTTGTGCTTCTGAGGTGGTGTTGCTGTTTTTTTCATTCCTTTGATCGTTCTTCTAGTTGTGTTCGGGTGCGTGTGTTGTCCTTGTCCTTCGTTTTATTGGTCATTGGCTTGTTCTTTGTTGTTTTATTCTTGGTTTTGTTATTTTGCTTGTTATTATGTTTCTTCTTTTTCGTGTTATGTTGCTTGTGTGTTTCTTCGTATCATTGGTTGCGTTTGTTTGCATTTCTGGTTTTGCATTGTTGTTATTACTGTTCTTTGTGTGAGCCTGATTTTAGTAGTCTTGCTCGCGTGTTTGTGCTTGTTCTTTTTTGTGTTCTTTGTCATGCTCTGTTTGTTCTTCTTGCTCTTGGTATATTGCTTGTCCTGCGTGTCGTTCTTATTAGTCTCGCTATGTTGCTTGTTAGTCTTGTTTTTTGCTTCGCCGTGCTGCTTTTTGTCGCGTTATTTTCCGCTTGGTCTTGTTAGTTTGCTTGCTCTTGTTGCTGTGAGTTTGCTCGTTGGTGTGTCTATGTCTAGGTCTTCTCTGTCTCGTTTATGTGCTTGTTATGGTTCTTGTGTGTGTCCGTTTGCTGGTTATGTGTATTGCTCTTCTTGGTATCATGTTTTTGCTCGCGATGTTTCTTGTTATCACTATTGATGTTTGTTGTTTTCTTGTCGTGCTAGTGTTCTGGTTCCTTGGTTTTATCATTGTCTTCTTCTGATTCTTCTTCTTCTTCTTCTTCTTTCTCGTTGTCTTCTTCCCAAAAGCGTGAGCTCTTCCGCTGTGTTCTCTTGCACCGGCCCAAATAAAGAACTTGCCCAGAGAAGCTTGCTCAGACGAAGTCGCAGCTCTTTAAGGCACTCGAGATTGCGGCTGTGCAGGGATCGGGCGGGTCTTATTTTCCAAACCCGTGGCGAAAGGTCTTCGCCTTCATAGAGGGCCCGCTGAGGGCGCATCTCTGTGGATTGAACTAGCTTGTCCTAAACGCTTGGGCACCCTCCTATGTGCTGCCCCGGCGTTACAGGGTCGAAATTATGTTGTTGTTTTGCGTGAGTGTCTCACGGCGGTGGCACACTGTTTGTCGTTTTTCAGTTGGATCCCTACTTGACCAAGATGAACAGCGCCCCTTGTTTGGTAGCCCCGAACTGTGCTACCTTTCAAAATGGGTGCCGCCGCCACACAACGTTTCAGTGGGGTTGCGCGCATGAGCAGCAAGCAAGATGTGCATCGGACAGCCAGCTCAGGGAGCTCGCTGTGCAGTGGCAAGGCCAGATGGGTTGAAGATTGATTTCATGTGCATAGGTTGTCATTTGGTTTGCACGTTTCATGCAGTTTGCATGGATTGCCTTTATTTGGTTCGCGCGGTGTTTCACGGAGCTTGAGTCGGTTTGCATTTGCTATGGGTTTTCGTGTTTGGTGTCAGACTGTTTTTTTTGGGCCAAGGTATCGGCTTTTCATTTGGTTCTGGATGTTGATTTGGTTTGCAGTTTCATCTCGCTGAGCGCAGTTTCATTCCCAAAGGCTTTGACTTGTCTGCGTGCGTTCTCAGGCACTCCGGTGTGTTCAAGCTCTGGGAGAAAACGAGCTCACTGTGTTTCTCTACTCTTGGGGATCCATTTTGTTGGTCTGTCTTTTGAGTTCTTGGTGACGTGAAACCAAGAGGACCTCCATTTTCAGGGCGTTGCCTAGAATGAAATGGGTGCTGGCATTCCTGACAGATAGTCTCCTGGAGGTTCTGGAGCTTATGGGGTGGGATCCCAAGGTATTCCCGCTGGTGATAAATCATCGAATCACAGGCAGAGATTTGGAGGATTGACAGGGTAGGCCTTTTTGATTGAATGGTTTCCCTTTGAAATCCAAAGAGAGTAGCTCCCCGACTCCCAAAACCAACTCATGCAGCCTCTGTGCAAGACAGATTGCCAACCAACTGAAACCAATCAAATAACGATTGCACATCTCTTTCGGAAAAAAGAAGAAAACAAACAGCTTCGGCAAAATCAAAAAAGTGGATTTGGTTTCCATGAATCCAACCTGAAGTCACGAGGCTGCGCATGTCCGGATGCAGCCGCCTGGAGCCCTGTGTGCCGCTGCGCGCTACCCTGGACTTTCAGGCCAAAAAAACACGTTTTTTTTTTGATTTTTCAGACGGGCGGGGGGGGGGGGGGTGGCAAGGTGTGTCTTTCTTTGGATGCCGTTGGTCTTGTGCTTTTGTCTTGTTTTGTTTTTTGAAAACACATGGGAGAGTCACGTCCTTCTTTGGATGCTGTTTTTGGAAGGCTGTGAGGGATTCCTCTTGCCTCTTTGACACCCTCCCTCCTGGAAGCTTCAATCATGCTGCGCATTTGGGTGTGTCATGTTATGATGGTTCCTTTTTGTTGGTGTTGTTTTCAAGAAAAACCAAAGGCAAGACTTGCCATTTGGGGGGTTTGCCTGTTTGGGACAAATCAACTCAGGTTCCTGTGGCATCTGGTTGTTGCAAGTTGCAAGTGCACATGTTTCAAGAAGCCTGAAGGATGGGGGTATTCCCATAAAATGTGCAGCTTCTTTGCAACATATTTTACAAAAGACTCTCAAAGGAAAGGGTCTTCGATGTGTTTTTGTTTGGTTTCTGGATGAAGCCCGTTGAAATGGGGCCAGGCGTGGCAATGATGGCACTAAGTCGTGTGTGCCTGAGATCTCTTTCAAATTCAAGAGTGTTTATGTGTATGTTTTTGCGGTTCATAAACTATGGACCTGTGTATTTTTTGCCTGAGATAGCAATGGCCTGTCGAGAGACAAACACATCTTACGGGTTCAAGCCCTGCCTTTAAAGTTTGGTCTGCCTGTGTAGACAGCCTGGTTTACTGGTGAATAAACATTCGATGCATGCGAAGAATAAATTGCTGCTGCCAACAAGCTGACTGACTGCCTTTCAAGAAGAATGGCACTTGCGCCTCATAAGTTGCCCAAAGTCCCATGTTTTCGTCTCTGGGACCCGCAAAATCTCAGCCAGGCTGTTGCTCACAGCTTCCCTACGCACTGCTTGAGACACAGACAGACCAGTGGGAGCACCAGCCTGGAAGATTGCGGGTTCTGTGGCCTTGCCATAGAAGCGACATAGAAGCGACCGCGGACAGTACTTTGCATGCGTTGTTCGATGAAGATATACATGATTCCGCTAATGCTGCAAGCAAAGCGGACACAAACTATGTGCAAAGTATGGCCAGGGGAAAAGGTCATGCTATGCCAATGCCAGTGAACCAGACACAATCTGAGACAAGTTTCATGGGAAAATCCCAGTGCCCAGTCACCAAGTTACATGAGCCGAAATGCCTCATACAAGAGCCAACCTTTCGTTGGGTCTTTGGGAGCGAGGGTGGAGGACTTAGCTTCAGGTCTCCCATTCCTTCGACTTCCCCATGGGCGTCTCGCCAGTTCCCCGTTCGACTCGCAGGTGCGGCTGCCCGCGCCGCCGCCCGCCACGGGGTGGCGAGAACTCACCGCCGGGGAGGGCTTCGAGATCGACGTGTCGCAGTGCAGCGCGCTGCAGCCCGGGGAGGCGTGCCTCGTGGGTTGCCGCAGGCCAGGATGCGCGGAAGCGCGGATTCGTGGGGTTCATTGGATGGCGTTTTGGGATTCGGGAATTCTTGGGTTTTTTGGAAAAATTCGGGGTTTGGGTGGTATGCAATTTGGGGCATTTTGGGTTGCGATCGAAACCGTAAGCGAGATTTGGACGCCTGAACGAAAGTATTGCCATGTTGGGACAGGCTTGTGTCCCGTGAGCAGAAAGCTGTGGGTTGTTCATGTGTCGGGGTCGATGGATTTTAGTCATTTTGAGGCTGGTGAAAAGTACAACCGCGGGGAACGTGTTTCTTCCGCAGGGTTTCCCACGGGCTTCTTTGCAAATGGAGAAAGGGATTGGGAACTAAAAACAAGTATTGGGCCCTCCCCCAAGGGTTGCTGATTCTTGCTTTTCAAGGAGAACGTCTCACCTTCCTTAGTCATTTCTACAAGCAGTGCAAGATGTCACCTTCCTTAGTCAAGATGTGATTTTTGCGCAACTCTTGAGCTAACTTCAGGCGCATGTCACTTTTTATAAAGAAGGAGCCTGGCTGCATGGCCGCAGGCCCTTTGTGGGTGACATGGTGGTGGCAACCTGCCCACCCGGCAACACTGACCGCTTTCAGGCACGTGCGTCTCGAGCGGTGGATGTGTGGAATGCACAATCAGCCAGGACAAACACCGCATGTTCTTACAGGAAATCGCCTGCCTGGCTTAAATGGCTGGTTTACTTGTTGATAGGGGTCAGCACTTCAATGGGAAGATGTCTGAGCCCACATCACAAGTTAGGCCCTTTCTTGGTGAAGCTGGCGACATTTTGCTGGAAAAAGGACGAATTGGGTAAAATGCAATTCCTTTCCCCATGTCCATTTGGCGAACACAATTTTGACAGTGGCTCATGTACAGTCCCATTCCGGAACACCATATGGTGTCAAGATACCCTGAGGTTCTCAGGCAGTCCCTTGACATTTTTCCCCACCAACATAATTTCACAGATTGCATGTGAACCATAAAAATTATTAAAACAAAAAAAAGAAAACTTTAAAACTAAAAACTTGTTGCGCCCTTTGCTTTGCTTCCGTCTGTTTCGTGGTTTGGATTGATGGTTTGGTGGTGAAGGAGGGGTTTCCAAATACGCCCACAAGACTTCTCAGTCCAAACCAATTTGATATCGGGTGCAAATTTTCCAAGCCACTCCAAACCAATTGGGGGGACGCTGGGCGTTGCGCGTGACGGGAGGCGCCGATGCTGAGCTTGCCGCCCTTCTGCGAGCTGCGCTGCCCAGACCCTGAAACTTGGCCGCCGGGCTACCGCCTGAGCGACGCGGGCTGGCAGTGTCAGCCGGACTATACCGGCGCCTCGGCGAGAAGGGCGCTGTAGCGCTGCGTCCCAAAAAGGCCAAGGTTCAGGCGGCGGGGATTGAAACAACCATACGGGACCCGTGCCGGGTTCTGTGGCGGGTTCCCCAGTTCAAATGATCAGCAAGGGTTCCTTTTCCCTACTAGGATCCCCGGGCAACTGCATTTGTTTTGCAAAGGGGGTAGCAGAGCTACCATTGTCATTTTTCCGGTGAAGGAAACCAGTTCGATTGTGTTTATCGGAGGAGCACAAGCGCAAATCCTGCCGGGCAATCTCCATTGAAAGTCATGTTCCAACCGGCCTGCCGGTAGCCGCTTTTGGCACTTTTGGCATGTAGTCGATCCCATGCCGCAGGTGAGCCGCTGAAGTTTTGCAATGCCACGCCCAGCTGCAACGAGACTGACTTCCCACAGCTGGATGAGGAAGGGAACTGTGCCAACGCGGCTCCTGGATCTGAAGACAGCGCCTGCCGAACTCCAGCGAGGGCCAGTGGTGTCAAAGCGGATCTCTTCTTTCCTGTAGCTTTCTGGGAACAGTTGCGTTTCTCCATCAACTGCAACCAGCCAAAAACGTTAGGCTGTTCTGCAGGCGGCAATAGCCACACCCGTTTTAAATGGTGTAAGGAAAACAACAAGGAATCAAGCATTTGCAGGGGGTCCCCTTGGAGAATATGCTGGATCTGCAAGAGTATGAAGTTTTTGTCGTTTTTTCCCCGGACGTGGCGAGAAAGGCACTCTTACGACTCCTATGCAAAAGCCAGGTGTATGGCTAATCACATTCTCTGGCCATACAGTCTATCCTCCAATCTTTGGAACACTCAGGTTGAGCTGGACATCAGCCTCAGCGGGTGCAAGAAGCGTCAGCCCTGTACAGCGCCGGACCTGCGGCCCGCCTAAGTCCGCCGGTCGAAGCGGGTCGAAGCGTTCTCTCGAGTCTTCTATGCTCATGCTCATCTACTCCGAATGAACAGCATATCATCTTGAAGGATTCTGTGCTTTTAGCAAAACAGCGGTGGGTCAACTTGTTTTGTTGTGACCGGAGGTGCTGCAGGTCTGGGATGTCGGGAAGGCTTTCCAGGCAGTTTCGGGAGAATGAGCCGGAAACGGATCAAGAAAACAGTGGCAACTGATGGTTCTTTTGGTCTGTTGGCCGGAAGCTCAAACCCGAAACCCAAACAAACCCGGAATCATAACCCATGATCCCTGTCGCCTCCTTACGTTTGCTTTTGTTCCCAACCCGAGTGGTTGGGGGGGCCATGATGGATTTGTGAAAGCGATGCGCTGCACAGCCGGAGACATGGAACAAGATCACTCCACAGAGGCTTTCGAAAGGCCCTCAGACTGCGATGGACAAGGTAAGCTCGTTGGTTGGCGGCTGGAGCCAAGAAAGACTGCGGCCCCTCTTTTGGTTCCCGAAATGCCGCGGAGTGTGCCCCCCTTTTTGTCGACCGACCCGGTTTTTTTCCCGGAGACCACTCAGCAGCTAAACTGTTTTCGCAGATTCCAACCACTGAGGATCGTGCGTGCTCAATGAAGCAAATAATTGCAACAGGCAGGTGGTCAACTGAACCATCACTCAAACAATGGGCTTTGAGCACTAAAAACCGTCCAAGCCGAAAGGGTAATGAAGTCTACATCGGCCTTGCAACATATGTCGAAAGCAAGTGCCATGGGTCAAAGACAAACGGCCACCATGGAAGTGCATGGGACCTTAGGAGTCTCCGAGAGGACGGGGGCACTCCTTTTTGAAACCTGTCAAGGAAACCTGGTATAACGCCAATCCTTTCAAGGGGTCCATAGGTTGACATACTTCCGAGACTGCAGGTTCTGCATATCGATCTACCATACATGGCCTGACGCTTAAATGTCAAATATGTCAGTTCGTGTATGTTGGCTTACTTGCAGGGGTCGGGTTGTCAAAGTGATGGTTTTTGACACAACGTCTGCTTGCTTGAATTTGTGTTGTTTAACCAAGAGGCAAACGGCAGACTATGGTCCAATATGGTTGACTTGGAAGATGTCCCTACAGGTTCAGAAGTTCACGAGCGTGGCTCACGAGAGCCTTCCTCATATGGTTCTGTTGGTTTCCCTTACCCTCCCTTTTGGGGTTCCTTCAAAACCTCTCACCCATACGCTTGTGTATCCTTGTTGGGGTGGGAAATCCATTTGTTGGGTTCCTCGTGAGGAGCTCATGCAAATTTGGCGGGTCAAACGCAGTTTTAAAAGCCCAGATCCCCCTCTGAAAATGGACCAAACCAAAATAACAGTCCCCAAACAAGAGGGGGGAAACAAACAGTTGACCTTCCCAAAAAGGATACAAAAGAGAAACAAGGTTTCCCAAAAAAGCCGGGGTCAACAAACGGTTGGACCCACCTCCGTCTCGCCCGAGCGACCTACCGCACGAGTGCCGAGTGCCTGAGATCCTCCTGCCGCCTGGAGAGCCCGGAATGCCCGGCGCAGCTGGCGCCGGGGGCCAGCTGCGAAACCCGGTGCCGCTTCCCCTTCCAGGCGCCGAAGGTTTCCCGAAGCCCCGAAACCGATTAGCACCGGGACACCGTCCAAACGGTTTGGCAACCTCCAGGTTGCCCCTTGGAACGGAACCCCTTCCGGTTTTCTTTTTGAGAACTCCCTTAAGTTGGCGTTTTTTTTTTTGGGGGGGGGGGGGGGGTGTGGAATCTAGAACTACTGGAAAGATGTTTGTGTTTTTTCCTTTTGCAATGAGTTTCTGTCAGTGGGCCAAGTGTTGGTCGTTTGAGGAGGTGGTCCTACTGCCTGTTTGAGGGGATACGTGAAATCCCTGTGCAAACCTTACCATGCTGGTAAAGAGGGGACCTTAGTTGTGGGCCACCTGACCAAAACATTCAGCAACCTGATTTAAGTGATGTAAGCGTTCTTCAGCACAGCTGGTACCCCAAAGAAAGTCTAGCCATTCAAACAGAGGCTCAAAACGACTCGTTCCGGGGGGGGGACCTTGCTTTCACTTCATGTCTGTAATTCTGGCCAGTTTCCCAACCAAACCAAGGTCTGGGTCTGGCTCCGGGATATCTCTGGAGACTTCTCCTGACCTTGAGCCTGTTTGATTCTTCACCTTAGCTACTGGAACCCATTGACGTTTGGTTTTCAATTTCTTCGGCGCAAGTCCCAAAAAGGGTCCACATGGCTGGAGCCTCGCCCCCCACGTCCCAGACGCCCAAAAGTGAATCACCCAAAATGGGACCTGAAATGGAAGACCATGTCTAAGTCCCAGTAGTGCCCTTTTACCCTTCTTTGGGGGAGGGTTTTCCTACTAAAATAGACTACCACAAAAAGGGTGCCCTTATTCTAACCTCTCTACTGGAGGACCTAGATGTTCTATCTGCCCTTCGGGAGGGTCAGACGCCCAGGGCCTCCCCTCCGTGGCGCACTGCCCAGCGGACAACACGCTGATGGACGGCCAAGGCACGGAAAACCCGGTATGCCCGAACCAGCAACAAGGGGCTTCCACAGACCTTGTCGGCTTTCCCTCTGCTGAAAGACGGGAACTCACTTGTTTTTGGTTTGTGAACATGTTTTGAGAAGTCCCTGACGTCCAGCAAGAAAGGGGGGAAGGCGTCCCCTTTGTTTGCGCATTACATCGGCTAAAACTACGTACTAGAGTTATCCAGTCAACCAGAGGAAAAGGGATTCAACCGAGATGAAGGATGTGTTGGAGAGTCAAGTGGAAACCTGACGTAGACCTACCATTTGTGGGGGGGGGCCTACGTTTGGACTCCCATACCCAAACAAGTTGGGCCCCTCTAAAGCAAAGCAAGCTCATGGTAAAACGCTTTCACTTGAGGTTGGGCCCATTGAATCAAGCCAGCCCGAGCACTTTTGGTACCGGAATGCTTGCCGATCCAGCAGCATTCACCCCAAGAGCAGTGCCTTCCTCGCGTTCCAAGCAATCTTCTAGGTGCTAAGAAGCCCAGGTTTTGCGGCTGTCCCAAAGAAACCAAGCGGGGATGAGAGCGTTGCTTTGTCAAGACGCCCTACTTAACACCAGTCTTGTCCGGCAAAGGCAATATCCTGGACAAAGTGACTAGACTCTAGACTTACTACTCCAACCTTCATGGTAGATGGCACAAGTCCGGGGAGAAGAGGTGACCACCCAATTGGCTTGGATTGTTGCCACCTCACCCAAACACGTTCATGGCACCCTGGGAGGGGGAATCCTGACACCCAGTCGACGCTTGCGGATTGGGATTACTGCGGATTGGGAGAGCAGCTCGGAGATCGACATCTCAAGATGCGCGCCAAAGACAAGACCTGTTTACTGGGTGCAAAGTAGTACATATTGGTTGATCCAAGAAACATAGAGTTGTGTGTTGTTAGTTTTCCAGGCCATTTGTTTAGCACAAGGGGTTGTGATGGGTCAACTGGGCATGAAGAAGTGTGGGATGCGAATGGAGTGGATTTGTGGCCTTCTCGATATTGAATGGCTTTCAAAGTCTGGCACGGCAGACAAGCCAAATGCAGGGAATCTCAAAAAGCACGCAGTTTAAGAACATTGCTTCTCGGAACATTTACAACGTATTCATTCAAACACACTGCATGACACGATAGCTGCCAGCCATTGCGCGCAAAGCGGTGAATCCGTTTGATTACATTAAGTTTTAATGGGTTGGGACAGATGCACACCACACACACACACACGCGCGAGCGAGCGCACAAGGTGCAATCACTTGTTCATCGTTTTGGGTTGACTTTCAGGAAATAGCACCCCTCCCAAAAAGTAGAGGGTCCCCTCTAAACTTAATCAACAGGAAAATCTATCCTGGAATAGGGCTCTTTGGAGAAAGGGCATAACATTTGGATCTCATTCTTCGACCCCAGGCGGCGCCCGGAGGGATGGCTTGAGGGTCCAACTCGTTTGGAGAAGCAAAAATGAGGATCCAGAGCTGAGGCTTGGAATGGGAGCCGCCAGCTTGCAGCATTCCGGAGTGCTACGACCCCGTACCTCCAGGCGCGGGTGTTTGCGTTTTTTGGTTTTTTTCCCGAAAGCGTGGCGAAGGGTTCTTCCGCTGGGTTCACTTGAGTTGTTCTCATGAGAGTCATTACAAGGTGTCATTGCAAGGAATCATCAGTCATCATCATGCAGGTCATTGCAAGGAGTCATTGCAAGGAGTCATTGCAAGGAGTCATTGCAAGGAGTCATTGCAAGGAGTCATTGCAAGGAGTCATTGCAAGGAGTCATTGTCATTGCAAGGAGTCATTGCAAGTCATTGAGTCACTGCAAGGAGTCATTGCAAGGAGTCATTGCAAGGAGTCATTGCAAGGAGTCATTGCAAGGAGTCATTGCAAGGAGTCATTGCAAGGAGTCATTGCAAGGAGTCATTGCAAGGAGTCATTGCAAGGAGTCATTGCAAGGAGTCATTGCAAGGAGTCATTGCAAGGAGTCATTGCAAGGAGTCATTGCAAGGAGTCATTGCAAGGAGTCATTGCAAGGAGTCATTGCAAGGAGTCATTGCAAGGAGTCATTGCAAGGAGTCATTGCAAGGAGTCATTGCAAGGAGTCATTGCAAGGAGTCATGAGAGTCATTGCGAGCTGCGCATGGAGTCAAGTGCAAGTTGCAAGTGCAAGGAGTCAAGTGCAAGTTGCAAGTGCAAGGAGTCAGGTGCAAGTTGCAAGTGCATGGAGTCAAGTGCAAGTTGCAAGTGTAAGGAGTCGAGTGCAAGTTGCAAGTGCAAGGAGTCAAGTGCAATTGACTTGCGAGGAGTTAAAATCTCTTCTTAGGGCGGCGGGGTAGTGCCGACGACACTACACGAAAATCGACCCTCTGCGGGGATCGGCGTGGTCGAGGTGCAAAAACCCATGGTTTCTTGCGATTTCTAAAGTTCCCGCGCGACCCTCTGCGGGGATCGGCGTGGTCGAGGTGCAAAAACCCATGGTTTTTTGCGATTTCTAAAGTTCCCGCGCGACCCTCTGCGGGGAAACCCATGGTTTTTTTTGCGATTTCTGCGGTGCCCGCGCGACCCAAAACTCGAGGTTTTTTGCGATTTCTGTGGTGCCCGCGCAACCCTCTGCGAAGTTGCCAGTTGCCAGTTCAGATGAGCAGCTTGTGATAGCCAGCATTCGCGTGAGCGCAATAATTTGCAACTTTCTGCATTTGTGTGCTTACACGCAGCCATCTGCCGCTTTTCATCTTTAGTTTAGCATGATGACTGGTCTTGGCAACATAACCCTCCCATTGGCAATTTGAGGCCCATGGCTACAAGCACTGGCATGCTGCCCCCTGCACTTTCAGTATGTTTGGACTTTTTTGTACCAGTGCTCTTCGCTCACTGTGATGGATGAACACATGTCCCATCTAGTAGCACGATCGCGTGGTATGAATGGCTACCTGTGTCGGTAGGAAATTGCCAGGTCACCAAGGCCATGCTTTTATTTCCCTCATGTTGACCGCTTTTGAGGTGCCTCGGCACGGGTCAGCATCATTGTTCTGCAGTTGGCGAGGATGTACTTAGTACATCGTCACTCCGAGTGACCGCGACCCTAAGAGGTTGTGCTACGCAATCCACCGCTAGGCACGTTGCACGTGCTGCGTTCGAGAGAGAACCCTCTGCGAAGATCGGCGTGGTCGAGGTGCAAAAACTCGAGGTTTTTTGCGACTTCTCGGGAGTTGTCTCGTGGTTCGCGCGCCTGCTCCCGGGCCGGCGGGTCGCGGGTTCGATTCCTCCCTGGTCCGCGGGCGGGCGTCGCAAGATGCAACTTGCCTTTTAAAGCAACTTGCGCAGACCAACTTGCACCGACCAGTTTGCGCAGAGCGCCTTGCCTAGAGCAACTTGCGCAGAGCAACTTACGCAGAGCAACTTGCACAGAGCAACTTGCACAGAGCAGCTTGCGCAGAGCAACTTGCAGGGAGCGCAATTTGCACAGAGCAACTTGCAGGGAGCCACTTGCAGGGACCAACTTGCCGGAGCAACTTGCGCGGAGCAACTTGCGCAGAGCAACTTGCACAGTGCAACTTGCGTAGAGCAACTTGGCAGACCAACTTGCACCGACCAGTTTGCGCAGAGCACCTTGCCTGGAGCTGTCTCGCGCTTGCTTCACGAATGCTTCGTGTAGGGAATCAGAACGCATCCTGCAGCGTTGGGCCGACCTCGCTTGCGATGTTCTGCTTTCGGGCCAACCGTGGTCTAGTTTTTTTTCCGACTGGACCTCGACGAAGCCTTGTCTTACTTTCTCATCGTTCCTGGCATGGCCGTACTCAACTGGGGATGCCTTCAGGGAATTGTCAAACGCCAACATGAGATTGAGCCTACTGTTGTCGTACACCTCATGTCAATTTGACATCATGTGTGAGTTGTGATGCAAGCGTCAGCTTTTAACACCACCTACAGGACAGAACCTGCAGCAGGCGTGGCAGCAAATGTTGGTAAAACAGGAGCTGTTAACGTCAAGCTTGCCTGCACATGACTTGCCGACAGGTGACATGCCAACCCAAGGAAGATCCCTTGTGGTACGGGATTGCTCTATGCGTGATTTCCTACGAATGACCAGCAAGATGAGCAATCAAACACTGCGAAATAGGAGGGGTAGGGGCGAGTCTCAACCAGAAATTGGCGCGGCTGCAGTAGTCCTTAACACGGGCTAATCTAGATGGCACTGTTTCTTTCACGGGGTAAGTAGAGTGGGGATTCCTAAATATGCGGGAGGTGCCATCTAGTTTCACCCTGCACATTTGGGTAGACCTCATATGTAGCAATGTAGCCCACGACAGAAGGCTTTGACGACTCATAGCCTTGCAGGCTATCAGTTCGGCCTGAATGGTTGGGAGTGTGCCGCTGGCGGCTCGGCAAAGCGAGAGGTCCGGGTCCTTGCGAATTATATTGAGCTTACCTGCGACGAGCTCACCCATGAAGAAGGTCCTTCACTTGGTGATCGTTTTTTAAAATGTTGGCAAGTAGCATGTGCAGACGGGTAGCTGTGAAAGTATGCAACTGGCTTTGGGATGATGGAAGAACTTAAAGCGGCCGACGCTGCACCCCTCATGCAACGAATGATGCACAGGCCTGAGACAGTATTGAGACCCGCTGAATTGCAAGGAAGAACGACACGGGGCCATATTAATATGCTGTCCATGGAGGGCTCCCTGTCTGATGGCTTTGGTGATTTGGGGGTTCCAAGATGTTTGAACGCCAGAGCTTTCTCCTGAAGGACACAGTGTGCTGACTGCTCGGATAGCCGTAAATCGCATGGACTCCAACTCAGCAAGGCCGGATTTCGGGAAACCACCGGGAAGACTGCACCTAACTCAATCAAATGCTGCGGGCATCCGGTCAGATCACTGTTTGCGTGTGGACTGTTGTGGCGATCCGGCAAGAAAGCAGCAGCTTGATGCGGCCATGACTTTTTTGGCATTCTGTCCACGGCCCTCGGAATCCGGAATTGCGGTCTCAGGCTTTTACGGTGCTGCTGTGCGCTCCTGCGGTACAGATACGAACTGCGAAAGCGAGATATCCCTTTCAGGCAGGAAAGACACGTGTCCATGAAAGCGTTTAGAGACCAGCCACAAATGCACGATGCATGTTCACTGCCCGGTGCATTTGGGGAAAGGACGCTAGCTTGGTGCGGAGAATTCTATTGTTGTGACTCTTGGGTTGGTGCAGGCAGTGGCGGATACTTCAGAGCCTCCGGGGCATTCCACGGACTTCTACAGCAGACTGGTCGTCTTGCCTTTGGCAACAGCCTTGCTGGCCTACATCACTTCCAACGTGTGTTTGTGTGTTTGTTTGTTTTGTGTGTTTGTGCATCTTTGTTTGTGTGTCTGTGCGTTCGCTTGTTCGTGCGTTCGTGTGTTTGTTTCGACACGCAAAGCTGCATCAGCACTCACAAAGTACTGCGCCTGCCGCTGAAACACCGCGCATCTCCACGGCCCTAAGCCCACTCTAAGCAAACCCCGAACAAATCCCAATCACAAACCCCAAACCCACGAAACTCATCCCAGCCCACGCCAAACCTATTCCTAAACCCGCCAAAAGAAGGGCAACCTATCCTTCCCTCTGAACGGCGGAGCCAGCCCTAAGCCAACCCCAAGCCCGCCAAGCACTACACCGACTGCCGAAACCGACTCCAGAAACCCGAAGCCCGGCGAAGCGCAAAGTGATGCCGAGTGTGGTGAAAACGGCGCATGTGTCAAACGGCCCCTCTCGAGACAAAAAGACCTATAGTTGAAAACTGGAACGTCACCCAATGACCGATTGGCCAGCCCCCCACTCCCCCTGCGGTAGAATGAGAAAGCAAAGCTTCCGTCCACGCCAAAACTGAAGTCGGCAAATGTGCTTCAGCAATCCCTTGCCAATCGGGCACTGAGAATTGACAATGTCAGGCGCTAGCGCCTTGCATTTGATGCTCTTGAATTCGTTGTCGCCATCTTTTGCGATCAACTCACACGAATTCCCCTGCGCACAGCCCTCCTCGCTCAAATTAAGTTATTTGCGCGGCATGGCGTTCATTGGATGTAGACTTAGCGTTCCAAAGCGATCGAAGGCTCATGTCTTCTGTAGATCGCCTCAACGCGGTCTGGGAATACTTCGTGCACTCTGCTTAAACTAAGCCCCTGCACTCAGGGTCGAATGCGCAGGTCGGCGCAGTTTGGAACATCAAGGGCTTGAAATATAGGGTCCCTTTTTTCTGAGCCTGCGAAACTGGAATCGTTCGACGCGGCAGGCTGCTTGCAACTGCAGCCCTGTCGCCTGCCGATGCGCGACAGGTGCCGCTACGCCACTCGGGCCTGATGTTCCGGTGCGGTACAACGGGGCTATACTCTGGTCGTCAAACAAAACGCAAAGCTAACCTAGTCATAGCAACCCCCTCATTCAAGAGGCACCTGGAACTCTCACTGGGTCGTATTTGGTAGTGCCAATCGCATTGGGCGAGCCAAGGGTTGCAAAATGACTTGACTTGTTTCGCCACAGTGCGCCGGTGATTGATACTCAGAAGACGTATTGTCAAACATGAGGGGTGTTGGGGTCCTGGTTTCACTTCGTGGTGCCTTCTACGAAGGGGTTCAGAACAAGTACAACTGACACACACTCCACTTGCGGCTATCATCTCAAAGCTGTTGCTTTGAATTTCATGTTTGCCACTGGATACGATTGGTTTGCAAAGTGGCTGAAGTTATTGGGCTCTTTTCAGGATTCCCCCCCACAAATTCGTGCAATTGATGGTGTGCCCCAACAAAGCTTAAAAAACCAAACCACCCCCCTGTTTGGCTATATATCAACTGCACACTGGGTATGTGTAAACCGATTGTAGCATCCAATATTATAATATAGGTTCCTGACAGGGGTTCCTGAAAAACCATGTTCCTTTGAAGAGTACATGTTGAAACCAGCATTGGCCTTGGGCGCATAAATCTGTGTCAACATCGGAAAACAACCGAAAGCAGCAGTTGTCCATTTGCCATGCAAAGAGTGTCTCGACTCCTCGGCTCCAGGACTTCACAGACTGCCTGGCGGCACTGGACGGCGCCAACTGCGAAGTAAAATGTTTGGCTCCTTACCAGGGCCAGGCCGGCCAAGCACTCGATGTGTGGATGCGCCAATTGTTTGGGTCTGCGTACGTGTGTGTGCGTGTGCGAGTGCGTGTGTTTGAGGGTAGCCGTTTGAGGTTGGTTTACAGCGAAACCAAGGGGAGATCCACACCAGGGCTGCCCTGAAACTCTAAAGCAGGACCAAACTCCACGGATTGGTTTTGGTCAGCTTTCCCTTTTTGCAACCCTAGACATTTCCAGGGGAACAAGTGAAGGACCTTGCAGTTAACTGCAATTACGCTTTTGTGGTCGGATGCGCTTGGTTCACCATGAATGCACCGTAAGCCAGGCTCGGTCGCAAGCATAGCTGGCGAACCCTAGGCCCAAGTGAATGTCAAATCGGAAAATTGGAAGCATGGGAGTCTGGGAGCTTATCCCAGTCCCACCTTGCAGAGCTTCCCAGTTTAGCAAGTCGGGGGTACCCACTCCATTCGTATGCATGTAGATGTGAACGTTCTTGTAGTATATATATATATATACTTCCTTTCTGAGCATCCAAGAGCACACGGTTTTTGCTGGTGGATAGCAATCGCTATTCGTTAAGCACATTCAAGGTTTTCTGGAATATTGAATGTGAGGCGCTTTTCGGTGGTGGGTGGAACGAGCCAGACCTTGTCGATCAAGTGCCTTAGGACGTCCTATCGATTTCCAAGATAATGGGCACCTTTGGTTGGCTAACACAGAGGAACATGTTTTGGAGTTAAACCTTGATTTTGTCGCGAAAATCAGGATATCTTGTCAGCTTGACCGTGGATTGCTTGCGGCATTCGCAAACGATGCGGTCTTCAGCCACTATGGACTCTTGGTGCTTTGCTCTTTGTGCGGGAGACCAGAGGTCACCACGTTGTACGGCACCGGATGTGATCGTGTGTCGGCAATGGCGGGTTTAGATACATCGGCCAGTGTGGACCAGATAAACTGGCAAAGAAGAGGGTGTCCAAATTGCGCAGGGGCCCTTGAATTGAACAACAAGCGCAGGTAAAGAGGCCTCACAACGAATCAGCGCAGCACCGTGGCTGCTTGGCGCCCTCAAGGTAGGCTTCGAGGACCACCACACTGGAAGACAAACCTGGGCGAGTGGTGCTCACTGGCGGCTGGCTGACTGCTAGCCTTGACCTTTGGTGCTCACGGGTTGTTTGTGCTGTGTTCGTGGACCCGTCGTCTTGCCTGCGCGCCTCTCTTGTCTCCTACACAATGATGGCGCAATCTTTGGGTCGGAGTTCATGGCATCTGTCGGCCCATGTCAAGCTAGCCTGGGAATGGTGTGGAAGCCAGTCACGGCACCCTACACGGGTTCGGCGGAACGGGCTCCGATCGCTTGCGCCAAGGGACAGTCATGTGTGCAGGTAGCCATTTTCCGATTTAAAGGGACACCAAAATGGTTGCTTTTGTTTTCAGGCCCCCGAGCACCCAATCAGGGCTTCACCTTGGCGCAAAATGGAAATTCCCACTTTTGGGGTCCTATTTTGCCACATGCCCATTTCGGAATGCAAAGCAAAAACGAAGACCAGGCGGATCAACACTCGGCCAGGCGGGCGTGGCGTTCTGCCCCGCGGGCAACGTGGATCCCGAGCAAGAGCTGCAGGCGGGGGGTTGAAGCATGGTCCAAGCAAAACAGATTGATGAAACCATAGTGGTTGCAGCATCTTCATATTGCTTGAAGTTCTACGCAATTGACTCAAATTTGTTTGACATGTATTCAGAATGTGTTTCACATACGCTTGATATTCATTGGAAGCTGTTGCTTCGCAGGTTGTGGCCTGGCCCAACTGCTCCTCGCCTTGAATCGGCCAGACTCGAAGAGACAAATGGCTGTGGTTGTCAAAACCAATGGGATCCCATTTTGGGGTAGGAACACCACCCATTTACTCTATTTTAGTGGGGATTGGGATGTTCACTGTGGGTGCCGGGTTTTGACTCACGGCCAAATCGGAATGCCAAACGCAGTGAAGCTACTTGCAAAATTGTGGGCCCTCATACTCCAATCCTACTGGTCCTGTAGCCTGTACATGATTGAACGGTTTCCTAGACATGTTTTTGTCTCTCCAGCGCAGTGTGTGTTTCATACATGCGTTGTTCCACAGCGCAGCTGCAGGTGTTCCATCAACTGTGTTGTGCGTGTGTGAGATGTTTTGTTGCTTTCCCGCGTGAGTAATGGCCCCAATTGTTTCGAGCAGTGAGGTTTCTTGCTCCGCTATTTGCAGGTGAAGGTTCTTCACCGCCATGTTGTGTTGGCGTAGGCATAGTCATGAATTCATGTTTTGTGGTTTTATTTCGCTTAGTTGCAAGCTAGCTGCTTGAAGGGAAACATCGGTTCTTCCTGGTGAAATCTGACAACTCTGCAACTTTTGCACCGATCAATTTGCTTGGAATTTGACCTTCAGTGTTAGTCCGGCTCCTGGAAGCCAGGACTGTGTTGGACAAATGTAGGGATGTGCTAGAGTTGGTGCCCCCTTCAAAGGTGTGTGAAGCGAAACCAGAAGGAAACATCCCTTTTAGGAGGGAGCATGGTAGGCTCCAGCAGGCAGCTGTCGAGCTAGGAAGGTGATGGAATGGGCAAAGGAGGGGCAGCAACGAGCAAAGGAGGGTTTGGGGGCGAGGGCGGGACAACGGGCCAAACCAGCTATGGAGACACTGGAGATGCAACTTGCAGTTTGCTTTTGACATCTTCTTCCCATTTCGTGTCTGTTGCAAAGTTAGAAGCCCTTCAGACAGGACTGAGAGCCGACATTCGGCTGGATTGACTGACCTCTACTGACTTGGCTGGTTTACTTGAAAGCTCAAAGCCAGCCAGCAGTGTGGGAGCGCGTCTCATGTTCTTTGACTCAAACACATCAATGTGAGCAGTGCTCCACGGATACAATTTGACCATGTAAACCATGACTGTCCGAACGCACAGTTGTTGGCTACTGTCCAGGTACACAAGAGACTGTTGGCGGGGGCCAAACAAATGCCCTGGATGTAAGACCTCCAGTTTGGAGGCAACGGTCAGATATTTAATGACTGAGCTGGGAATATGGGTGTTTCTCAGAATAGGGCTTCCGTAACATGGCTGGCTTCCTTTTGGTTTCCCAAACAAGCTGGAAGAACGGGTGGGCCGAAGGCACAACATAGAGTGAGCGCGGCATGTGACGTCAAATGTGCTCTTGTCTTTTCCCGTCAAGGCATGTGTGTTCGATCCCCGCAAAGGGTCGAGTTTGCACACCAAAGGTAGCAAAGGTTCAAAGTTGTTGCACATCGACCACGCTGATCCCCGCAAAGGATGTCATTTTTGCAGGGTGGATTTCGTCCCACCGCACCGCCTTAAAAGATGAACTTGATCTTCGGGTCCGCACTTCTTGCAAGAGTGCAAGTTCGCTCGTGCAATGGGCTGCTCGATCTCTCCTACAACTTGCTGCGTGCGTTCTTTTGTGCAAGTTGGCTGCGCGTGTTCCCTCCTGCAATTTGCGCAGGCTCCTGCTTTTTTGCTCTTTACGTGCTCTCGTGTTTGCTGCTCTGCCTATTCTCTGTGCTGCTTGGCCGCGATTTCGACAAGGCAGGAACCCCGATTTTGCCGGAAGCGTTGCATTCGTTGGAAAACACGCAAAGCATTTGGAGAAGCTCTATGAATGAGCTGGAATTCGGACGATTGCTGGTCAACCAACATGGATGAGGCCATTTTCCCCCCAAAAAACCCAAGAAAAGGAAGCTTCCATCAAGGCCCGGAGGTGATCTCAGCTCAGGCGTGGCCACCTGCCCTGAGAGCCCTCCTGCGGGCTACGAGCGCACGGACCTGGGCTGGCGCTGTGCGTTGGGCTATGACGGCAGCGCCCAGGCCACGTGCACCATCTCCGAGCTGGACGGAAGCGTCTTGGCGAATGTGTTCTTTTCAGGGCACCAAATTTATGAGTTCGTATGAGTTGATGCGGGAAACCAAAGGAAAACCACAAGTCTGGGTTCCCTCTAGTTGGACGCATACCCGATTCACCAGGGTTGGCCCGGTTTAGTGGAGTCCACCCTCCGAGTATCTTTCTGCTTGGTGGGTTCAGCACTAAAAGTGATCAACTCCATCAAGGTGCTTTTTTTTTAAACCAGGAGTGCGGTTTGGGCAAAAGCTCTTTCAACCAACCAGACCCTTGCGTTCATTCTCAGAGAAGCTAAAAAGAGGTTTGTAAAACAACTGCTTAAACATGTCTGAACAGAGAGTTTGGCCCAGGTCCAACATATAGATTTTGGTTTTGGGGCCAGAGCTGACGTAGCTCTGAGATGACCCCAAACTACCAATGCCAGCGGAGGGGGTTGCTGACAAGGACCGTCCGGGGCATGTCTGAGAGATGGCTGCACCAAATTGGAGGTCACGTATTCGGTGTTTGGTCGTTGCACGGCCACCTCAAAAGGAACCCAAAGTGGCCACAAGCCTGCTGGTTCCCCTTGAAAAGCACCTTCCAAAACGGTATCGCAACAGACACTTCCCAGGTTCGCTCATGCTGATGGACAAAATCCTGCACCAGTTGGGATGTACCATTTGGTGCAGGATCTCGTCCGTCTACAGCACTTCACAATTCACATGGCCATGGGTCAAAATCCGCGTGCAGTGAACATCCCAATCCCCACTAAACTAGGTTCTAAAATGGGTGGTGCACCTACCCCAAAATGGGATCCCATTGGTTTTGACCCGCAGCCACATGACTCATGACACATGTTGCGCCTTTTTCAGGTTGTGTTTCCGACCTCCAGCTGGGTGGATGCTTGTCGCGGCAGCCCTGTGCGCCTCCGGCGACTCAGGAGAGTCAGATCGAAAGCTGGCACCTCACAAGGGAAGTGCTGTCCCTCCAAAGTGCGACCATTGATAAAAGGCAACAGCCAATACACTTTGGTGCATTTTGCTTGGATGTTAGGACTTAAACTTGTTGCCAACTAATGGGTTTTCCATTACACCACTAAAAGTTAAACTTTTAGCAGGGGAGCAGAAAGCAACCGAGTACAGGTTTTCTTATTTGTATCTTAAAGTCCCCCCACAATCTCATCCTGAAAAACTTGGACCGTTCTATAGTAAAGCGGGGGTGGAAGTAAATGGCGCATCTCGCTGTGGGCAAGTCAAGGGAATGAAGCCAAACTGCAGGAGGTGTGCCATCTGCCTTCAACCAACTGTAATTTTGACGAGCAATCAATCCGGCGGACTGTTTGTTGGAAGGTGTTTTCATCAGTTCTGTCAAGGCTCACAAAAAGTATGGGCACAATTCGCGGTGCGTCAATCTCAGTCAAGTCTGATAGCCATCAACGACCGAGCGAATTCTTGCCATACCCTTAGTACCCTTCCCATTCTAACTTCGCAAAACTGGTTGGGCCAATCAACTCAGGTTAGGTAGGTGAGACAGGTTCGACATGAATTTGCAGAATGGGGGGGGGGGGTTGAGCCCATTTTGGGCTTGTTTTTGATGTCACCTCCCATGGTGGGGTTGGCACCCCCCATTTTCTAAATTGTGAATAAAAAGAAAATGGGTCTGATCAGGAAGGGTCCTAGGTTGGCCCCCCCATTTTCTAAAATTAGAAGTTTCTCAGTCTGGATTGGTTGACCCCATTTTCTAAAATAGACCGAGTTGGAAGACCCCATTGTCTGAAAGAGCAGCTATTTAGTTGCCAGCTGGTTGAAACAGACTATCCGGTTTCCCTTTGTCTTGTCCCTCAAATGGCATAGAAGCGCTTTTGTCGTGCATGAACAAAACCCGCCGAACTACAAATAATTCTTTGCTGTTTGAGAGTCCAGGCCACTACAATCCATCCAGTCTTGGGCTTGCCATCTCAGAATAATCTGGAGCTGAGACCGAATTAGAAGTTGATGTCCCCTTTTTTTCCACAAAACTGTCATTTCATTTTTTCATGGTGAGGTTCGACCCCCCCATTTTATTTTATTGAGGATCGGCCCAGTGCACGGACCGAGGTCGGCCGTTTCGCCGTTGGAAAAATGGGGTTGGACCCGGGGGTGAGGCTGATGTGTTGACTGCCCATAGGACCTCGACGAGATCAAATCCTCGACCACACAGGGCTCCTTACAATATCCCCATTTTGCGGCCATTTGAAACACGTTGCTTTTCCAACACCAGAATAAAGGGGAAACCACCATTGACAAGTTGCAATGTTCAGGTGTATAATGTAAGGATCCCTGCCACACTTCTGCAAATATACGGAGCTTCCAAAGATGGCGCTTAGCGAACTCACCCATGGATCTTTGGAAAGGGATTTGAGGTTTCCAATTGAACTTGTGGCATGTCTGAATTTTACATGCCTCTCGCAGGCCGGAAAGGCGAGGCGCAAAGCGCCGGACTCTCTGTGGGTGGGCCCGTGTTTTGCCTTCGAGGCCTCACAGGGAACGGGCACGCCAGCTCTCAGCACGACGGGGTGCACAGTTTTTGATGGCTCTGCCTTTGAATGCTTCCATGGTTGCTTGGGTAAAAGAACCCTCGCGTAGAATTCGCCCAGGGGGCCAAGCCAGAATTCCAGTGGGTGGGTGGTTTTGCCGGCACTCAACTCGTGAAGGAGCCTTGCATGTATGACTTCCCCAGCTGCACCCAAATCGACGCCGGCGCCAGCTGCGAGATTCGGTGCAAGCATCCCTACCGGGGGAGCTCTGCTGTCGCCACCTGCCCGGCCAACAACACCGATCCTCTGAAAGCCGCTCGCCAAGTTGAGCTGATTGTTTGGAGCTTGGCTGATATTTCAGGCAACCTGCCAGCAACGTCGGTTCTGACTCTCTGAATGCGCACCCCAAATCCAGGTTGGCTAAGACACCATGGCTGTCATCGGGACAACCCATGTTGCAACATGTCGTGGTTTCCACATGCTGAACATGCCATGGAAGCTGGAATCCCTGAAGCCCGTTCAAGAAGCAAGTCCCGCCGTGCGTTGAGAGTTTTCCTGCGTTTAGGGCTCCAGACAAGGTTCAAGAAGGGATGTCATGTTTTTGTTCATAATATGGATTAGATAGAAGCGTTTGTGGGCACGCACATGTACATATATATATATATATATATATGTTGAATGGGGCCCCAGACGCATGCACAGATGTGTGCGACCGGCGCAGTCTTTGGTGGACCGAGGGGGGGCAGACCCTTGCGGGGGTTCCCCCCCCTTTCTAGTGAGCCTTTTGTGGCTATTAGGTGCCCCCTCGGGGGGTCTTCCGGCCATGGATCCAGGGGTGGTTGACCTCGAGGATGGCTACCTACGAATGGGTGGTCCTCCCGAGGGATTCTTGAGAGCCCTCCAGGGCGGCTACAGCGCTCGCCAGCTCGGCTGGCGTGGGCCAGGAAATCGCGGTGACGCATTGGCGATCTTCCGTGCTGGCCAAGTCATTGAGGTGGAGGTTCATGATGACTTTTTCAGCCCCCAAGGGCAGGCACTGATCCTCCTGGAGGAGTGGTTTTCTCGAGATGACCTGGTCTTCAAGGGAAAGCACTTGGCTGCCTCTGACGAATACTACGAATGGTATGCCACTCACGAGATGGGTGAGCCTTTGTACCACCTTTGTGTGGGAGGATGCAGGTCATGCCGGTGGAGGGCTCCTCGGGGAAATGCTGATACGGTCATCCATGTGGATCGATGGCGGCCTGCGCCTTTCTCGCAGGTCATTGCTGGAGGGTACGGTTCTTCGGCAGTGCTGGCGTTGCTGAAAGGGGCCCTGGAGGCGGATATGGACGCCAGGACCAGGGTTGGCGGCCCTGCTTCGGCGGGGGGCCTCCCTGCTCCTCCGGCGCCAAGGGCTGAGGCAGCAGGCAGCGTTGGCTTGGACAAGGCTGGCCTCCTTGGATGGTGAGCCCTTCTCGGACGAACTGGATGCCTTGATGGCAGGTGAGGCGAGGCGCCTTCGGGATGAAACTCCTGGGCGCCCGGCAACGGGCCCAAAGCCGTCGGTGCTGCCACCGGCGCAGCAGAAGGCTTCAGTGAATGTCTTCCTTGCTCAGAAGGCTGCAGAGAGAGCGAACGCAGCCGATGTTCACAAGAAGAAGAAGAAGCGAAAGAACCGAGATCGTGGGAGATCTTCTTCTGATTCTGAGGTGCGCCCTCGGGATAAGAGGCTGCGTGACGATTCTGATTCAAGTGATTCAAAGCAGCTTTTTCGGAAAGCCTCCTCTCGGGGGGTAGACCTGGGAAAACTGTCTCGGCAGAAGCCAGGTTGCCTGCTGAAATCCGCCTTGCGAGAGATGAGAAAGTATCTCTCCGCCTGGGGGGAGGCGTCCGGATCAGATCCCGCGGAAGGGAAAGTCCTGAATCAAGTTGTTCTGAATCATACTCCGGCTCAGAAGATGGGCCTGAGATCCCACCGGGAGTTGACTACCCTGGCAACCGGGCTGGACCTCCTTTTGGAGGGGAGCCTGGGCCGCCTAGGGGATTTGTTGGTTCAGCGGTTCAAAGCCGTGGAGGCGAGCTTCAGTGTCGAGGGTGGATGGGCAGTGGCGCGCCACCAGGAGATCATCCCGAACAGAGCCAGCCTGTCAACTCTCGAGGAGCAGACCGAGGCAGCAAAGGCCGAGTTGCGGGCTCAGAAGCTTCAAGCCGCTCTCGCTCGGTCAGGAGGAGTTTCCAAATAGGAGGCAGGCGGGGGAGGGCTAGCCGCCCAAAAGTCCTCCCTGACGCCGGGCCATTTGGCCCCCAATCAGCGGTGGAAAAAGAGAAGCCGAAAGAGGAGCCCCACACCTCGGAGAGAAGAAGTTCGTCCAGGCCGACCACTGGCAGAGAGAAGAGCTCTCCCAGTCAGCGCTCCGAGTTCTCATCGGCCTACGGCCCTGAGGAACCCGATGGAGGACCTGAAGCAGACACAGGAGAAGACTCGCAGAGTCACGCTGGCAGAGGACCTCGAGGAATGGAGTTGAGTGAGGTTCGCGAACTTCTTGCAGGCCAAGATTGGAATGAAAAGAGCGCTGCCCAGGTGAGCCCAATTTTGCTGAGATTTGTCACCTGCATGCCTGGTTTCCTTGGAAAGTATGGTGCTCAGCTTTTACGCGCTTCCACACAGGGCGAAGGTCGGCGCTGGAAAGATGTGCTGCCTTTGCCTGTCACCCGAACTCGCAGAGAGTGTGCACCAGATCATGGAGACGGCTAAAAGGAAATCAGCCAGCGGCTCAAAGGTGATACGTGAAGTTCGCCATGTCGGGGCTACCTGCTGGACTTTCTTGGTTGTGATGGCTTTAAATGTGCTGTGGTGTGGCCTGCGGCAGAACCCCCGGGTGAGCCGCGCGGAGCCAACCGAAGCCCAGAAGTTAGCTCTGGGTAGGATCCGTCGGGCAGTCGAGTACTTTATGGATTCCCTGGACGGGGCGGCCAAAGGTAAGGTGCCGCGGACTCCGAGCACTGGCTGGGCCAGCCGTGTCCGCAACGCTCGCGTTTCCTACACCGGCGAGGTTCTGATGAAGGCTGAGGCTTTGGAAGTTGAGCGGGTAGAAGTCAGCTTGCCACCTGCCGGGCATGGCGGGTGTGTGGACATTTTGGAGGTGGTTGATGAAGAAGTCAAGGCAAAGTTGTCCGATCCTCATTCGTGTTTGCTGGCGGATCACGAGGTGCCGGACAGGCTTCCTGAACCCAAGGTCAGAGTCAAGGACGAGCAGTGGCCTGCGCTGGCCAGGTTGCTTTTTGAGCGAAAGATCGTGAAGCCTGTGAGTGAGGTTGCTAAGGTGAAGGGGAAGCCCCTTTTGAACGGCTTGTTCGGCGTAGAGAAGGCCAATAAGACAACTTGCTCAGGAGCCCCGTCCCAGCGACTCATCATGGACATGCGAGCTGTGAACGCGGTCATGAAGCCCATTGCTGGCGATTTAAACACATTGACGGGGGCGTCAGCCTTCACCAATTTGGTCCTTGGGGATGGCAATGTCATCACGTTGCGCGGAGACGATTTGCAGTCGTCGTTTTACCTCTTTTCCCTTCCAGACACCTGGCTCCCATTCATGGGCTTCGAGAAGCGGGTCAGTTGGCAGGACCTTGGGGTTGATCGCCCGGGCGACACGTGGCTGGCTGCCGCAGTGTTGTGAATGGGCTTCATTAGCTCGGTGGCAGTGATGCAACACATACACCGCCGCTTGGCGCTATGGCAGCCGCCGTGGGGTGCCGGCTTGCCTCCTTGCATGGAGATTGGTCGCCATCTGGCGTGGCCTGATTTGGGTGAAGATGCCCCAGCGTGGTCATTGTACCTCGATGATTCCACCTTGCTGCCGCAGATCGAGGAAAAGGTTGGGCAGACCCTTCCGGGGCGCCCGGCCGATGAACAGATCGCTCTGCGGCGGGCCTACCAATACTGGGGGATCCCTTACAATGTCACAAAGGCCATTGAGAATGCAACTGAAGTGGAGCGCCTAGGCAGCTTCATGGATGGCAAAGAGGGTCGGATTGGCACCACAACTGCTCGGAACCTCGAGATTCTCAGTTTAGGCCTGTGGCTGTGCAGTCAAGAAGGCGTCTCGGTCAAAAGCTTGCAGGTATTTGGTGGCAAAGAATGTCACTGCTTGCAGTTCCGCAGGCCGTTGTTCTCAGTGTATGACGGCTTTTGGAAGCAGGTGGCTACCATGGCAGATGGAGAACCTCTGACTGAAGATAGCATGGCCGAGATCTTGATTAGCTTGATGCTGATGCCGATGAGGTTCACTGACTGGCGAGCTCAAGTGGACCCCGTGGTGATGGCCAGCGATGCCTCGGAAAAGTGGCGGCTTTGTTCTGTCCCACTCCTTGTCCTTGAAAGGGGAGAAAGACCTGCGAGCCTTGTTGCAGGTCGAGCGGCAGCAGGAGGAACACTTGGTAGTCTTCGATTTCTTCGCCGGCATTGGCGGGCTTCTGCGGTCACTGGAACGAGCAGGCGTACGCCCTTCCCACTGGGTCACCGTGGAGAGGGACAAAGCCTGCCGCCGGCTGCTTCGGAGAGTGTGGCCCGGTGGAAGTGAGCATGTGGACATCGAGACTTTTGCTGAAGCAGACATCCTCCGAGAGTTGGACAAAGTGGCAGGAGTTCGGGCAGTGATTGCCGGTGGCGGCAGCCCCTGCCAAGGGCTTTCCAAGCTCTCATCTGAGCGTCAAGGCCTTGAGGACTGCCGGAGCAAGTTGTTTTTTACTCTGGCTGAGAAGCTGCGAACCATTCAGAAGGTTTGCCGGGAGCGAAGGATTCGCTTCTGGGGGTTCGTGGAAAATGTGGTCTGCGACGAGGCCGACAGAGATGCCATGTCCTATGAGCTGGGTTGGAAGCCAGTGAAAATAGAAGCAGGTGATGTGAGTTGGGTCAAGCGCCCTCGGTATTATTGGCTCAGCGAACAGCTGCCGGAACGGCAATGGTTCAATCTGCAAGTCGGCGAGGTTGCAGATGAGTGTCGCATGGAGGGCACTTGTGAAAAGAAGTATTTGTGGCTGCCGCAGGGATGGTCCTGGCCCTCAGAAAAGCCGGAAGCACGGTTTGCCACCTTCACTCGGCCTATCAAGCGGTCTCGGCCACCCCCTCGGCCAGCTGGCCTGCAGTCAACGTCTCCAGAGGCGAAAGCCCGGTGGAAGGCCGATTCTTTCGGTATCCGCCATACACATACAATGAGTGGAACATGGTGCAAGACGTGCGAGGCCAGTGGTTCAAGCTGCCCGCTGAGGCCAGGGAAGTCTTGATGGGCTTCCGGAAGGGGCACACACTTCAGCTTGACCGGTCCAAAGACAAGGACTTGAGCTATGAGGAGCTGGAAGATCTAAGGCGCAGCGCGCTGGGAAACAGCTTTCAAACAACAGTGTTGGCTGCTCTGTTCAACGCGCTGTGCGGCGGTTTTTTCGGGCTACCGAAAAAAGGCCCTGCTGATCTGTCCAAGGACTTGGCTCAGGATGTGAAGGAAGTGGTCAAGGGCTGCGACGCTGACAGCGTTGCAGGCTCAGATCATCCAGACCCTGAGGGGGAGGATGAAGAAGAATGGCATGTGCCTGATTCCAGCACATTGCAGACAGTGGAAAGGAACGATGCAACGCTCATGAGTCTCTTGGTCCAGCAGTACCTGCGGCGCACGGAGGTCAAAGGATCTGATGTGCGGCTGGACATCGGACTGCTTTTCAAGCCAGGAGCAATTCCTCGAACATCAATCGACCCGACCAGGTGGAACTGGTACAAGGGTCGGGCTTGGAAGTGGCAAAAGGCAGAACATATCAACCTTCTGGAAATGCGGGCGGCGCTGCACGCGCTGCAATGGAAGAGTCGCCGCACCTGCTGGCACTCTTGCCGCACTATGGTCCTCATGGACTCCCAGGTGGCCATTGCTGTCATGAGTAAAGGACGATCCTCATCAAGAAAAGTGAACCAGCTCTTGCGACGTTTCTGTGCGTTCGCTCTCGCCTTGAACATATATCCATTGTTATGCTGGGTTGATACAGCAGACAACCCAGCTGACGAGTGGTCCCGCTTGTCCGACTGATGGTCGTCTTGGGAAAAAGAACGCGAGAGGAGCGCAAGTCGCAACGAGCTACAGTTGGCTCACTTGAAAGTCTGATCGTCAAACCGTCCACCTTGATGAGATACCGAGCTTCGTTCAACCGTTTCACCACCTTTGCCGATTTGAGCGAGCTGCCATTGAACTCTAGTTTCGCCATTGATTCAGCTGCAGGCCGCTATGTGGAGGAATTGTGGCAAGAAGGGGCAGGCAAGGCTGAAGCCTCATATGCGTTGGCCTCTTTGCAATACTTTGTCCCACAATTGCGCGGGCATTTGCCTGTCGCTTGGAGATTGATGAAAGCATGGGATCGGCATGAACTGCCGTGCCGTGCGTTGCCATTGCCTTTTACTCCGCAAATGGCAGTAGCATATGCCGGCCTTTTTTGGTTTTGGCAGGAGCCGGACTTGGCAGCCGGCATTCTTGCTGGCCTTCGACTTGCTGCTGCGCACAGGCGAGCTGTTTGCAGTTCGGGTGCAGGATGTGCAACGCGTTGGGACGCAAGCCACAGCGCAGCTGCACGACACAAAAGCCGGGTCTCTGAAACTTCAAAGTGAAAGGCTTGTTGTTTGGGAGCGTTCGGCGGTGGTGGCTTTGCAGTGGTTGACAGCCCGCAAACAGCCCGGGGATTTCCTTCTTTCTACTTCAGTCAGCAAGTTTCGAGCCCTCTGGCACAAGCCACTAAGTTCTTTGACCTCAGCAACCATCTTGTGCAACCATATTCTCTTCGGCGCGGCGGGGCAACGTCTGCTTTCCGCGCTGGCGTCAGTTTTGACCAGCTCCTAGTGCGCGGTCGTCGGGCGCATGTTAAGACAGCGCGTATATACCTTGATGAGGGGCTTCAGCAGAGCGCCGCATTGGAACTGACCCGTCAGCAAGCCACGCGATTGGTCTGGGCTGCCAATCAACTTCCCTCTTTCATACGGCCAAGGCCAGGTTAGGGGCGCGTGGAAAGGCGTTGATATGTTCTTGGTTGAGGGCTGGAGGCTCTCGCCTTTTGCGGTGATGCGGCGCGTGCGCTGCGCTTTTTTGCCCAGCCCCCTCCCGGTTTTTGAGTAGGCTCACGGGAGGGGGTGGCCAGCCTTTGGGCGTGGCTTCAATATCAGAAACTGCGGAAGCGCATATGCAAAATAGCAGAGGGCGCACTGAGAGTTGTGCATATATATATATATGCATATTTATATATATATACATGTCATGCCTGCTGCGAGCATGGGTCCTTGAGCAACTGGCTTCTGCAACATTTGGTGTTAGAAATGTGACACCAGGGTCCAAACCAGCAGCTTTTCACTCGAACTCCATGCCAGCATGATGTCCAACCTGTTCTGACTACATAGTAGACTCATGATTAAAGTCCAAGGGTGCTTGTACATTACATGCCCCTTGGGCCAGAAGGCCTGCTGACGTTCATAATTAGCCCTCTGCCCTTTAAAGAGGTTTTTGCCCCGTATGAAGTTGATTGGAAACCAGAGAAGCCAAGGGGTATGAACAAGGGCTACGCACTTCCACCCTCAGACAAAGGGAATCTTGATGTGGCTCTCCCCAAAAGACCCATGATTAAAGACAAAGGGGATGGTTTGAAGATGGGACCCCAAAACCACGGAAGCTCCCTTCGTGGAACCCCCCCGGGTTCGCAGGCAGCAGATGTGGAGCTGCCGGACTGCGTGGTCAAGGCGCCATGCCCAGATCCTCCGGAGGGACCGCCTGAGGCATATAGATACACCGGCAACATCCTGGAGCCCGTGGTATGCGGCCTGGTGAAGCAAGGTTCAACCTGATGGTGGCAAATCGAGATATGGATTGCCTCTTTCTGTGAAACCCTGACTCAAGTCATGCAGATGGCCCATGTTACAGGAAAGGTCATGTTCCACTAGGCCCCTTGATGAAGATGAGGGTGTTTCATGGGAATCCGGCACTTTTGAGGCGGAACACCCCCTAAATCAATCCGCACGGTGGATGAATATGGGGTCAATGATCTAACAGTTTTTGCGGTTGGTCATTGCCCTTTGTTCGGAGGAAAGATCAAGGAGGAAGTCACGTGCTTCATTCCAATAATCCGTTTTAGCAGAGCTGCGATAGATGTCCTGAAGCAAGTTATTCAATGTGTCATCTGAGAATGGAGGAGCTGGATGCCGTTTTCACTGGAAAGCTCCTTAGCATCAACGCCTCGTTTGCGGCAAGCGCACTCCTTGTCAGCCACGACAGAACTGATCACCGGCCCAAAGGTTTGCAGCAAAGGTTTGCAGCAAAGGTTTGCAGCAAAGGTTTGCAGACTGTCAACTGATCTTCATGTTGAATCAAGGCCCTTGCTCTGGAAAGAAATTGTAAAAGGACAATGCATACCAAAGTTGATGTTTGGTTCCAGCGTTTGGAATGTTCAATGAGTCTCCTCCAATGTGTATGGGGTATGCAAAATATGGAACAGAGTCAGAACATGTTCTTTGCGTGCTCCAGCGTCCAAAGAACCAAGAGGCCGAAAGGCAATCGACCGAGGCGCGCCGGGCTACTTTGGCCAGGCTTTGCGGCAGTGCGTCGCCAAGCCCTTGCCTGACTCCGAGGACTCTTAATTTTTCCGCGTGCGTTGTTGGTGGTAGTTTGTGGTTGTATACCTGGCTGTTATACTTGTTTGCTTGCTGGCTTGTTGGTTGGTTTGTTGGGATTGCTTGTTTGTTTGTAATTATGTTTTTTTTTGTGTGGTTCTTTGTTCGTGTGTTTACTTGTTTGTTGGCTTGTTTGCTTGTTCGTTTGTTTGCTTGTTTGCTTGCTTGCGTGTTGGCTTGTTTGCATGCTTGCTTGCTTGCTAGTTTGTTTGTTTGTTTGTTCGTTTGTTTGTTTGTTTGGTTGTTTTTTGTTTGTCATTGTTTGTTTGTTTGGCTGGTTGGTTGGTTGGCTGGCTGGCTACTGAGTTTGGGTTTGCTGTTGTTTGTTCTTGTTATGTGGTTTTGTTGACGTTGTGTTTCGTGTTTTTGTTTTGGATTGCTAGCTTGATAGTTCTGCTTGCTTGTTTTGGTTGTTCTGTTTGTTTGTTTGATTCATTGGTTGCTTGTTCCCTTGCTCGGTGGTTTGCTTGCTTGCTTGCCTGCTTGCTTGCCTGCCTGCTTGCTTGCTTGCCTGCCTGCCTGCTTGCTTGCTTGCCTGCCTGCCTGCTTGCTTGCCTGCCTGCCTGCTTGCTTGCTTGCTTGCTTGCCTGCTTGCCTGCCTGCCTGCTTGCTTGCTTGCCTGCCTGCTTGCTTGCTTGCCTGCCTGCCTTCCAGCTTGCTTGCTTGCCTCCTTGCTTGTCTGCCTACTTGCTTGCTTGCCTGCTTGCCTGCTTGCTTGCCTGCCTGGCTGCTTGCTTGCCTGCTTGCCTGCCTGCCTGCTTGCCTGCTTGCTTGCCTGCCTGCTTGCCTGCCTGCCTGCTTGCCTGCTTGCTTGCCTGCCTGCTTGCCTGCTTGCTTGCCTGCCTGCTTGCCTGCCTGCCTGCTTGCTTGCTTGCTTGCCTGCCTGCCTGCTTGCTTGCCGGCCTGCTTGCTTGCTTGCCTGCCTGCTTGCTTGCTTGCCTGCTTGCCTGCCTGCTTGCCTGCTTGCCTGCCTGCTTGCCTGCCTGCCTGCTTGCTTGCTTGCCTGCCTGCTTGCTTGCCGGCCTGCTTGCTTGCTTGCCTGCCTGCTTGCTTGCTTGCCTGCCTGCCTGCTTGCTTGCTTGCTTCCCTGCCTGCTTGCTTGCTTGCCTGCCTGCCTGCCTGCTTGCCTGCCTGCCTGCTTGCCTGCCTGCTTGCTTGCCTGCCTGCCTGCTTGCTTGCTTGCCTGCTTGCTTGTCTGCCTGCCTGCCTGCTTGCTTGCTTGCCTGCTTGCCTGCTTGCTTGCTTGCTTGCCTGCCTGCCTGCTTGCTTGCCTGCCTGCCTGCTTGCTTGCCAGGTTGCTTGCTTGCCTGCGTGCTTGCCTGCCTGCCCTGCTTGCTTGCCTGCCTGCTTGCTTGCTTGCCTGCTTGCTTGCTTGCTTGCCGGCTTGCTTGTCTGCCTGCCTGCCTGCTTGCTTGCCTGCTTGCCTGCTTGCTTGCTTGCCTGCCTGCTTGCTTGCTTGCTTGCTTGCTTGCCTGCCTGCTTGCTTGCTAGGTTGCTTGCCTGCCTGCTTGCCTGCCTGCCTCCTTGCTTGCTTGCTTGCCTGCTTGCTTGCTTGCCTGCCTGCCTGCCTGCTTGCTTGCTTGCTTGCGTGCGTGCGTGCTTGTGTGTGTGTGTGTGCCTGGTTGCTTGTGGTTGGTTTTTTTTGTTTTAGTTGTTTGGTTGTGTAGTTGTGGTGTGTTGTTTAGTTGTTTAATTTGGTGTTGTGTTCGCTTGACTTGCTTGCTTGCTTGCCTGTGTGTTTCTGTGTTTGCTTGCGTGTTTGTTTGTTTCTTGGTTTGTTGGCTTGCGTGCGTGTTTGTTTGCTTGGCGTGCGGTGTTTGTTTGTGATTTGTGTGTTTGCTTTCATACATGTTGCATTGCAACATGCAAAGACTCCTTCAGCCATGTGAGAGCCGACAGGTTCAGCACATTCTTGCATGACGTGTGTTTTTTGTGGATCAGAAGTTTCCCGTTGCAAACCGGCCATGTGTTTTGGGGAGAAGTGTTGCAGAAAGCCCTCACCAGCTCCCGGCCGTTGGTTGACCGAAGTGCAAACCTCCGATCAAGAATTCAATCACAGCCAGCCTCCAATTTATTGGCACGTGTCACGTGTCCCTTGGCCCTGCATTTCTAACGCGTGCCTCCTGATTCCTGAGCATTACTTGGGCCGAAGCCTCCGGTTTTTGTGATGTGCTTGCTCCTTTTTTCTTTGCTGTTTTGTCCCTTGTTATGGACACCTTGACCAACCAAACCAGGTTGCAATCCCAAGGTTCAGGATTTCAATTGGACGTTTGGTAGGCCAGGCACTGGCCCTCTCAAAATGGTAAGCTTCAAGAGACCGTCCCCAAGGTCCCAGACTTGTAGACTGGGGTTTACAACATTGGGGGATCCCAAAGCAGGTTGGTGTCTGCCTTTCTCTTCGAAGCCTATGGCGAAGCAAAACCTAAGGACATCAAGTCTAAGATGGCCAATTTTCTAAGATGAATCTTCAATTTTCGGTTGGGTCCTAAACTCTCCAGCTCCAACCCTATAGGGTCCCCAAACCCCCCAACCCCCCCCCGCCCCAAACCCCCCGTTTGCCCAGACAGGGTTAGGTTTAGCAGGTTTTTTGCCAGGACACAACCCTTCTATAGGGTCTCCAATTTTCGGACAAGTCTAAGCCAATCCGCTCGGACCCGCCTTGGCCTGCCGACCGGTCCGGACCGGAGGAGGGGACCGACTGCTACGCCGAAGGCGAGTTCAGCGGCTGCGCCCGGATCGAGCCGTGTCGGGCCCCAGAGATTGGGGCGACCGACTGCGAGCTGCAGCCTGGCCGAGCCTTTTTTCGCCGGGAGGTGAAGTTTTGATGGTGGACGTAAAAATACATAAGACTCCACATCTAAATCATGTCCAGCCAAGCATGCCCAACTGGGAATCATACTTGGTGGACATAAAATACATAAAAGTCCACATCTAAGGCATGTCCAAGGGATCCCCAAATCATACTCACTGACGCATTCAGACTGACACGTTCGAGGTCTTGCTTGAAAAAAACACGCGTTATATCAGTTCAGAGGGATGGGGCAAGTTTGGTCGTAACCTTGATTGGCATCTGGTGTGTACCCCCTAGAAACGGCAAAGATGATTCCGGAATTGACGAGCTCCCGGATTCGGGTGTACGAGTTCACTCTGATGTGGGTCCTTTAATTTTTCTGGGAAACTCTTCGGCATTTTTCGCCTCGCGTAAATTTTGCAGCAGGTTCATGTCCAACCACTGGCTTGGATCAAGGGTCCGTCCATGCTGCATTTTTCAAGAAGGTGGCGTAAGTGTTCAAAGCCTGTGCAGTTTTTCCCGAAGCCGTTCTGACGTATCACTTGGTTTCCCACGTGTCTGTTCTATCTCAAAATGTGCTGCAATAGGTCAGCAGCTGGCGATGCTTTGACGCATGCCCCACACCCACAACTGGGTAGCTGGGCTTAGCCTCTCAAGCCACCTTTCCTAGATGCAAGGAACGGACAATATTGGCTGTCCATTGGCATTGATTGACTTCAGGATTGTGGTTGAAAAAGCTTTGGACGAGACCTGGTTGGACCAAAGTCAAAATGTTTCTCTAGACGGAGAACTCTATTGGTTTCGTGATGACCCGCTTCCCGATACACAGCATAGCTGTTGCGGCGCCATGCACAGTTGCAACTGGACTCAAGCCAATAGGTCAGTTTGCCTGGTAACTTTGGGAGAGTTGGCTTTTGTTCAGTTTCTTCGCACATGCTAGGTGTTTGTAAGCCAAGCATCCATAAGGGAATGGTGCAACTAGCTGAATGTCCAGAGTTGGAGCATCCTGCGCACAACAGGTTTGGGTCCCATGGACCGGCGAGTGTGAGCTGAATTCATTTCGGGCCTTCAGCTTGTCCAAGTGAGAGGGCCATTGGAAGGGTGCCCTCCACACCCTGAAATTGACACATCGCCACGGATGAGATCACGATTTCCATTGACGGCCATTGTGGAGGTCCCAATCAAGACCGCGACCATCCCCTAGGCTGATTTGGATCTTGCAACAATATCGGGTGTCACCGCCATCTGCGAAACCAAGGGAATCCCCCAAAAGGGCAACCGTTGTTTCCTTGATGTGGACACCACTCGGGAAACCCACCTTGATTTTCTTGATGACCAATAGCCCGAACTTAGTGCATTGAGGCAAAGCAACTGCAGTGAGATCATGGAGGCTGGCAGCAGCTGCAATACCTGGTGCAGGCAGCCCTTGGCAGCTCGGCGACTATCCAGACGAGGGGGGTTCCATTCGCAGAGCGAAACTGGACATGCACGGCATCCGGAAAGCCCACCCGCATGTGGCCCGTACACAGGCGGCCAGGGCCTGATCGGTTCCTTTCAGGCAGCTTTGTGAGGCTACATGTACGGGGCTCTAGATTGAATTCGCTGAGGGGATGTACACGCAAAAAAGACATGAACTGGAAAGAACACAGCTCAAACTCACAAGACCTGGGTGCTGGAGGCTATAAATACATGGCTGTGGTTGTCAAAGTCAATCGGATCCCATTTTGGTTGGTAGGTGAATTCACCACCCATTTTAGAACCTAGTTTAGTGGGGATTGGTTGATGTTCACTGAGGGATAACCGGGGTTTTGACCCATGGCCATATATAAGATACACTAGGTCCCCAAGTAGTGCCCTTTCTCACCCCCTTTTTTCGTTGGGAGGGTTCCCCTACTAAAATAGACTACAGAAAAAAGTTGGTACCCTTGTTCTAACCTCTCTACTGGAGGACCCAGTATATATACATATATATATATGTATATATATATATAAATCTGCTGCATATATAAAATAATATAATATAATATGTATATTGTATACCCGCTTTGTTTTTTCTCCGTGAGGTTGGGGAGATCTCGGCGGCCGTGTGCCCCTGGAACAACACGCAGCCGCTGAAGTGGGCGGATTGGAGGAAGCCCAGCTGCAGCTGCCCGGACCCGGCGCGCGTCTTCCCGGGCTATGCCGCGGGGGGCAACTGGCAGTGCCTGGCTGGCTACGTGGGCACGGCCCAGAAGGCTTCCCAGTGACAGATGTGTTTTGAGTGGCCAAACAAAACTCGTTTGTCTTTTGGTGGGTGTGTGTCTTTTTGTTGAGGCTACCCTTGTTTTTTGAGGCTTGAAAGGAAGACCAAAAGTAAAGAACCACTACCTTCTTGGGGGTCCCCCACAAAAGACACGCTTTTCTGTTTAAGGATAGCTCCCGCTTGAAACTGATAAAACACCAAGGGATCCTTTTCTTCCAGACTAGGAGTTGAACTATCCATCCGCTGTTGTGGAAAGAGTATTTGGATTGGGATTTTCGGGGATACAACCCAACAAATCCAAGGGTACCAGGGTCAGACAGTCAACACTTTCAGGCAAAAGTTTAGGCTTCTGCTGGCAAACCAGCCTATCCGGTCAGAAGGTGTCTTCTTTGGGTTACAGCCCGCGCAGCCGGCAGGTGTGTCCCTGCGGGGGTTCAGAGAGCCTTCTGATGGGCTGCCATGCGCCGGTGCTCTGCGGGGCGGCGGGGTTCTTGGACACAGACCGGCGGAAGAACTTCGTGGGGGGCGAGCTGAAGTTTGGGCCCTCCACCCTGGATGGGCGCAAGGATGAGGATGGCGTGCCCCGCGGCAGAAATGCGACCGGGCCCCTGACTTTAGCAGTCGGGGTTCTTGTGCAAGAAACACTGCAGTCGCGGAAAGGCGAGGGAAAGACCCCTGTGAACCGAGTCGACTTTGGGGACTCGAGACTTGGACTGGGGATGTTTTTCGCTGGCCGAATGGGCGGAATGGACAGAGTTGCACTTGGATAGATTTGAGTTGCTTGAACTCATAGGGACCACAACTTAACTTAATTAGCTGGCAGTCTTTGTGCTAGCTGGTTTTTCATCAATTGAAGCCCAAGAAGCTTAAACTATGGCCAGTCAACCAACATCGTGTTTCCAGGAGTCACTTCGAAACTGCTTGACTTTCCAGAGCTGCAAGATTGATATTTGACTTGCCGCAGCAGCTTCCAACTGCAGAGGGCTGAGTCAGCTGATGGAGCTGGGGCATGTTGGGTCTGAAGTTTGGTGAATGATTGCTGGCATTGGATGACACCCGGACCGTTGAATGGTCAGTCCAAAATCGCACTCTCACAGATAGTGACATCCTGTCGGAAGCAAAGCACTTCGTTACGAAATCTATCGCACAGGTATCGCTACGAAGTCTTTTGGGCTGATGACTGTGGCAACCCGCTGGGCGACGCAATCTTGTCAGTGCCTCCACGCACGTCTGGCGGGCCAACGAAGCTTGGCATTGCACCGTTGCTTTTGTGCCACCGCGGTTTTTAGGGTGTCAACGTAACGCCGCTCTGAACAAAAATAGTACGCAAGTGACCATGCGCGTTTACCAAGTGTCCGGAGAAGCGTGGTAGGTTCAAGTAGCTTCAAGTCATTCCCAAGGACAACTGTGGCAAGGATGCCACTGTAACTCTGCATCCTCCTGAGTTGGATTCACTGATTGACTGTCCAGAATCACTCACTAACATGTCAAAAATTAAGGAAGGCTAGCAGATCTAAAGGTTCCGAGTCAGGCCCTGTTGTCAACATCATTCAAAGCTCTTGACTACATTTCACCGATGTCTACAGTCCGCCAAGGCAGTGAGGCATCGGGCAAGGTATCGATCAGCTGACCAGGAATGTGGGGGTGTTCTCCAAGGAGTTCTCGATCAGCCTTTGGATGATGTTTTGAAGGAGCTTCTCTTACACGTTTCTTACCTCCGACTACTATCCCAAGTTTCTTACTGGAAGCCGCCGAATGCGTGCAGCTGCCAACCAACTCAGGAATCTTTGGCCGGGAGGCTGCTGCAAGACGGATGTGTACACAGCGATGCTGGGTCCAATGGCCTTGCCAAGTGCGGCCAGGACTTTGCTGATTTCAGTGCTGACTACCTCAGGGCCGGCGCCGGACGGGCTGCTTGGCACTTGGCTTTCGCTTTTGCCACTTGCGCAGCGGCTGGGGGTTGGCGCGGGAAATGCAACCGTCAACCCCGAAACAGTTCCCTTCGTAACAAGCCCGGAAAGAGTACCATCAAAGAGACGCAGCCTTATGACACTGAACGTTTGCGTCCCTTTCTTGAGACTTCTAGCTTGTTTCAGCAAAAGAAGCTGGTGTGTTGCAGTTTGACCATTCTGTCAAAGATCAGAGGAACTCCAAAACACAGGGGACGCATTCCGAGGTTGGTGGTGCCACTGGTAGATGAAAGCTATGAGGAAGCCTCATGGCAAGCACCAGGATGTGATTGCGCAGGGCCATCAGGGTAGGCAGGCCAGGCAAGATATCGCTTGCTGTACAGTATTGCAACCCCTTGCAGCATGGTCTGCCCCTTTTCTTGGAACACCTACCTTGTTTGATGGGGTTACCATCTTGAGAGTATTCCATTTTGAGAGTATTCATTCCCAGCGCTGCATGTGCACGAGCCATGGCAAGAAAATTGTAGCCTGTAGGCACCAGCTTCAAATGTCTCGCCCCTGCTGAGGATACAGTGACCAATCCTCCCAAAGGGACAGTTGGCGGGTCAACGGCTTGGAGTTTTGGCGCTTGGCATTTGTTGCTCCTAGCTTGCGTGTATTAAGCAAGATCTGAAGCCGTCGCTGGAAGTGCGGAGATCCCATGAAGCTATGGAAGGCTTGTGCAGATCTTACGCCGGGGCAAAGATTCCCACGGGCTTGGCCAGTTGCATGGTGCAATAACTATGGAATTCGTTCAAAGTTCCAGGCCTTGCACCATTGACGGAAATGATTGAGATGCAATCAGCGCGGTATGGTTTTTAGTCTAGCTGAATATGCAAACGAGAGGGCTGGAACAGAATTCAATGTCTCACTGTCAAGGCCAAGCCCCATTAGCTAATGCCAGGATCTTCCATGAACGGGAAGGCTGCAATCAGATTTTTGGCTTTGCACATTGACGTGTTTGTTTGATAATTAGATTATGCACCTTCTCGTTCCCCAGCAGGAGGAGCCTCTATCATTCTCCAATGAATTTCGAATTGTGGGCATACGGAGGTTGATTCGCAGGGTAATGTAAGTTGTTTGACCAATGTTGCGAATTTGCACCGAAAGACCTAACCCACTGCCACATGCGTTGAAATTTGTGTGCACCCATGTTCAAATGAAATGGAAAAATAAATAATTCATTAATATATTGGATCTATCGAATATTGATATTATATATAATATGTCTGTAGAAATGATTAGCTATGTGTTTAGGTGTTATTAGGCATGTCGGGGTAGTGATTTTCTTGTGATATTTGGCTCAAAATTATGGTTGTGTATTGTGATTTCGGATGGGCGTTGTCGGACCCTTGCGTCGACCGGCGGGATTTTGGGCGAGAAAGAGATTTTAGGTTGTTGTTAGGTTTGGTAAGGTGAATTTGTGGGGTGTATTGTTGGCTTAGGCCGCGAGTAATCTTTTTTCTTTTGGTTGTTTACTATGGTTGTTTGGTTATGGGTGTGTGGGAAGCTTTGATAATTGGGATTGGGGATTGGCTATTTTTGTGTTTGTGATTTATGATTATAAGTTCTCTGATGTTGATTTTGCTGAATTTTCGAAGTGTTATGATAAGGAGGTTAGCTTAGGTGATCTCCGAAGGACGCTTGAATGTGTTTTTATTATGTTTAATGGGATATTCGTGGGTTTTATGCTTGTTTTAAGTTCTATTGTTAATTGTGGTATATATGAAATTGTTATAGATCGTTTTTTTTTTTTATTATTTTGTTTTTTTTTGTTTTTGCGAGATGGTGAGCTTTTGTTTCTCTTTTTTTAGTTATTTTCTTTCGGGAGATTGTTTTGTTTTTGATTACCGTATTGAACGATTCTTCCGCCTTTTGCCAAAGTAGAAGGTTACTTATAAGTATTCGATTAGATATAATCGTCGTTGATTTGGCCGAGGTTTTAGAATTACGGGACGTTAAGTATGTCTTGGATTCGATATGATGTCGAATATTAGGAGTAGCGAGCTTAGGAGTTTGCTTGGGATGTTTTGGGTAAGGTGTGCCTGTATAATTTTGGATTCTTCTTTTAAGAAGATTCTATGGTCTGTAATGAAGTCTAAATCTCGGTATATTATCGTTGGCGGTAGATTTGTTTCCCTGATATCGTTTGCATACGATGCCGGGGAACATGCCGATATCATAGAGTATGGCCTGCACCCCCTAGGGATAGACCCCAGCAAGGGCCAACGACTGTGAAGGAAAAAACCGAGACTGGAGTGCTAAGCGCCTGTCGCATTGCAGCACGTCTTCGCATCAGCAAAGGCAGAAGCCGTTAACATTGAAAACATGCATAGTTGCAAAAGAGCAACCGAATTAACCGGACACCGCATTGCACAGCCCAAAAAGGCGAAGAGTTGGCCAGAACCCAAACGCAACGGAGCATTGGCACCAAAGAATGGCCAATCTGCAAGTACCGGAGTTGAGGGCGCAAAGTCAGTTTTATTGGGACGAGGGTCAGTGATAAGCTATGTACACACCGACACCACGCCGTCGAGAGTTCTGAAATGGTTGCATGCTGCAGAGAAGAACGCTTGATTGCAATCGACATACCTGCAATCGAGTAAGGGAAACGGAAAACCTATCAAGTTGGTTCACGAACACCGCCAGGGCCATCGAAGCTATGTACAAACTGGCTGCCTGGCACTTTGCACATATGGTTAGGGTCTAATGCACCGCAGGGAAACAGCACCACAAGAGTGAGAGAACCATGTGTGTTCCTAGCTCGTAATCCTGAGCATCTTACACCTCTGAATTGCCACACAAGTTCATAATTCCTGGCCGCATATTATGAGATTTTTGCAAGAACACGTCATCACCAAGAAAAAAACCACAGGGAGCTGGACCCCAACACAGCTAGACAAACTGCATAGAATCGTCCACCAAGTAAATGTTCTTAGCAGTTCTGTAAGTTTCACCCACTTGCGCTGAGACTGAGCTATGTACACCCAGCAACAAGTGATGAGGATATGCAGTGAGGAAAACCTAACATCGCCTATAGCATAATCGCCGGTCGATATAAAGGAGTCTGGGCAAGAAAGGAGCTTTTTGGAAGCGGTGCAAATTAAAATTCGAAACATGCAAGGTCATATACCAAACCAGGGTATACATCACCGAGGTGAGCTCCCACATGCCAAGAAGGAGATAAGAATGTGGCGACCCAAAGGTCACATTCGAGCAAAAGTAGTACCGCAAAAGAAAGGAGAGGTGAAACAAGACCAGGTGCCATAGGCACCAGTCCGAAATGGAAGCGAAAACAAAAGCCGGAGCAACTGTGCCGCGCTTAACGGCCTGTGAAACCTAGGCCCTATGCCCGAAGACACCCAAGTGTCGAAAACCAGGTAACATTTCTCGTAAGCCAAGTGTCTGGCAATCAAAGCTCCACATCTCCAGGGAATATAAGGCCAGAATCCCAGCTAGGGAATGGGATCCACGAGTATATCAAGGCAAAACAGAGATTCGGAAGGCCACCGAACACCGAACACCAGTTGTCGTGTAAGTCTCCCCCAGAATAATATTTCCCACAGAAAAAGAAAGTCCGCCATCGTGAAATGATCCAAAGTGAAAAAGTGGGGCGGGGAAATCGAGTCCCCGCAATACCACCAAAGATTACGTCGAATAAAAATCTCGCAAGCGTGATCCGACTTGTAGTGCACCTGCTGTATAAGGGACCCAAGTCTAATCCAAAAGAGGTGGGATCCGCTAGAGGGACCCAATCAATGAAAGGTACCGATAATACAAAGTGCCAGCCAAAGCGCATGCAAGGCCGCCAATTTCCAACGGGTTCACTCTAGGTTTAACGAGGGTAACCAGACATACTTTTTGTTTGAAGGCATTAAGGCCGCATTTATGCGGGCTTTCGTTGGGGCACTTTGTGTGCGTGCAAAGCCCACCTTGTTAGTTTTCATTCATGATAGGCTACTTGTCTCATCTGAACTATCCCTTACTGATCCTGACGTATGTTTGCATGAGGCTTCTCTTGCTCTTGGCTTTGACCCTCCCCTCGTTTTTTGGGTTCGGACTGCCAATCTTGTGTATGCCGGTAGTAGATACCAGAGGCCGATCACTAGCCACGTCAAGGTTTAGGCCCAGGTTGCCAACGTGTCAGGTAGGCCCAAGGCCCGCAGGCTTGCCCCTGTTGCACCCACGGCTGAAACACTGCATGCTTTCTGGTGCCGACGTTCTGGCTCATAATTGACAAGAGCGATGCTTGTTTACACCCTGATTTGGTTACTGCGCGGTTCGTCTCAGCGCCAGTCCCGCTGTGCCTGAGCGTTCCGTTGTTTATATCAAATCTGTGCTTTTTTTTGTTTGTTGCACTTTGTTGACAATTAAGGTGTATAAGAGTATAGATTCCGTTCCTCTCACACTCACTGAGTATGCCGCTCTCACCATAAGTGATGCATTGACTAGGGGATATTACACTATGGAAAGGCCCATGACTTGCCTATTATCCTTTGGCAGGCTCCCACTGATTGCCTTGTGAAGGCGCTACGTCAGTACCTTTCTTTCGGAGGTTGGACCGTTTTCATGGCATACCACCCCTATATCAAGTTTCACTCTGGGAGGTCGATCAAGCTCGGCAACCACCCAGGTTGGCTTTTTGGCTACCCGAGGCCCAATCCAGGAGCTTGACTCACAGCAGTCCAACATGGTCTAAAAAGGGCCGAAACGCGTTATTTGCCTCTACCATCAGGCTTCATGGATGCCTACATGCAGGCCATGACCCTCCGGCAGGCTCGCCAAGACACGCTTCGCCAACGACCCCGCTTTCCAGTGGACCTGCTGTTGCCCCTTGCGGTGACTGATGCCAATCGCAAGTTGTTCGTAGCACTTTGGATGCCCCTACGTCGGATTCGTCGCCCCTTTTTGAGGGCTCGTTGGTCTGCGGCAGTCCTTCGGCGGCTCCGCATTGCTCAGCAGGCACCTGTTGAGGTCACTCTTGATGCAGCGGCTGTCCGGCTATGGGTTCGTAGGCGGCCGTGCCAAGCTCTACCGGGTGATGGTCTCCCGAGCACGCATCGGCGAGTCCGCAAGCTTTTCGCCAAGTGGCAGGCCCGGTTGTTTGCCCCTGACTTTGCGCGCCTCCGCAATGCCTGTGGAGGGCCCGCTAATTCTGGCTCATTCTGCCTTCAAGGCTGTTGCATTACAGTGGTACTTGCGTCATGCAACTAACTACCTACGCTCTCGGTGTGCCAAAGCCTGGCAGCCCTTGCTTCGCTGCCCTTGAGTCTATCAGTCACCTCCCGATTTCCAAGCTTGGTGCCATCCCG